TGCGCAGCTGGTCAGCTAACCGCCGCAGGCGGACTGCCATGCTGTTCTTGGACGGCGGCCGCGCCGCGCCCATGAGCAAGGCGCCGAACATGGACGCGCTATCGATGAGGAGATCTGCAGGGGCCGCGCGTCCACCTTCCCCCCCAAGCCGCGTGAGCATGCGCGCTTGCAGTCAGCCGGCTGCGCCGCGCGCTGCGAGCGGCTCGGGGCCGAGCGAAGATCGGCGCACAGGCTTGCGTCGTCGGCTCACTGCGTCCAACGTGTGGCACGCCTGTTCGCCGGTGCGGCTGGCACTGTCGAGGCGCATGTGCACGGCCCCTCTCGTGCCGCGCCCTGTCTCCTCCTCCCTCTTGGACTGCCCGTCACTGCGCGCGCTGAGTCGCGCGGCGCGCTCCATGGCTGGAAATGGCATGCGTACATTTATCTTGCGCGCGCCCAGGATGACTGAGTTGAGCTGCCTCGCGCGCAACAAGAGCAGCTTGTTACGGGCTCGCTGTGAGGCGGCGGCGCGCGCGGCAACGCGGCGCTGGCCGAGCAGGACCAAGCCGCTGCTCTCACGGGGGCGACAAGGAGGTCTGGAGCCTGAGCTCCTGCCGGCTCGTCAGCCTTTGCCATGAACAGGTCGACGCGTCTGATCGATAGCAAAGCGCCAATGTACTCATCTTGGTCGAGGCCACGGCGCCATCGGCACTGCGGTGCCGGCGCGCTCCGCAGCTGGTGGCGCCATTCGAATTATCTTTCATTTTGCCGCAGTCGCTCTCGACGCGGCTGATTTGCCAGTCGACGCGCACCTTTCGCCCAGCGGTCTTCAGACTGCCGACGCGCATGGACAGCGCGAGCACTAACTCCGAAACGACGGCGCCACGCGCGCCCGACGTCTCGCGCTGGGCCTCGAGCTCCAGGCCCCACCTGGCGGGCATGGCGCCGCGCTCTGGCGAGCGCGGGGCCCGGGCAAACTTCGCGGAGAAGGCTCGGGGTGCGCCCTAGCAGCCCGCGCCCCGCTCGGTGCAATGCAAGCGCTCGGTTTGCTCGTCGCAGCTCGAGCAGCTGGGCACCTGCCAGAGGATGGAAGCACTGCCGGGTGGCAGGGTGAAGTTCACCTCGCGGGGTGCTTCGCCTTGTTTCTGCATCGCAGGTCGCGCCGCGCGGGTACTCTCGCCAGTCTGGGCGGCGCGCCGCCTCCGAGGACAGCGCGCGCTGCGGCGCCCGCCTCGCTGCCCCCGCGAACGTCTGGGAGCAGCGTGGATCATCCCATTCGGGCCGCGCTTCAAACTGCATCCTCGCACTCGCCAGGAAGCTTCCTGGTAAGCCGCCAAGCCCCGCACCGCATCGTCTGTCGCAGCTTCATCGCGGCGGAGCCTGAGGCGCCACGCCACTCGTCCCAGGTGCCTTGGGAAGTGGCCCCGCGGACCATGGGCCGCCCGCTCGAGATTGCCAGGGGTCCGCGCCACAGGTGCGAGGAGGCCCAGGAGCGTCAGTGCACCCTCTCGCCTGCACCAGTGTCGCGACCACCATCCGTCGAGGGACCCAGCTGAGGGGAGCTCCAGAAGGTGGCCTTCACGCCGCAGCTGCTGAGCACGTGGCCCCGATCCACCGTGACCCACTCTCGTGCAGCATCAGCAGCAGCCGAAGAAGCTCTGGCACAGCATCCAGAACCGCCTGCACCGTGACCAGGAGGCGCATTTTCCCAATCCCCTGACCGAGCGCTGAAGTGGACGTGGCCCGCCAGGATGCGAGCCCGAAGCAGCGCAAGCCGTTCCGAGACCACCAGGGCAAGCAGGGGAGAGGGAGATGAGGAGACGGGAAGCGCCCCTCGGGCCCCCAAAGCCTTGCGCCTTGTTAGCCTGGGCCAGCACGCTAGGAGGAGGAGGAGGAGGTGGATGAGGAGGAGGAGGAGGAGGGATGAGGAGGAGGAAGAGGAGGAGGATGAGGAGGAGGTGGGGGAGGAGGACGGCAGGATGAGGATGCGGATGCGGAGGAGGAAGAGGAGGCGGGTGATGCTGAGGAGGAGGGACGTGCAGGGAGGAAGGAGGGGGGAAACGGGGGAAGAAGAAGAGGTCGAGTGACAGCGGCCGAGCGGGGCGAAGGGCACGCGGCAAAAGGGAGGAGACAGCCGGAGAGGTCCGACCGCACGCCTCGCAGACAGCGTGCGTCGAAGCAGGAGCGGCGTCCTCACCGAGAAGTCTGGGAGGGGACCTGTGCGGCCTCGACATCCGCATCCCCCTGCGCCGCCCGTTCGCCGAGGAGCTGGGAGATCAGCGCGAGGTGTGGCGGGCCCGTGCGAGCGCCATTCCGCATCGCCCTGTGCTCACCACGGCGTGCGGCCGTCCGCGGGCACGGCGACCTCCAGGGCGAACGGCAGCGACGAGGGGCTCTGCTCGTCCTGCTCCTCCGCCTCCTCCTCCTCCTCCTCCTCCTCCTCCTCCTCCCTGTCCTACCCCTCTTCCTGCTTCTGCTCCTCCTCCTTCTTCTCCTGTTTCTCCTCATTCTCTTCCTCAACATATGTTCCTAATCTCCCTCTTCCTCATCCCGCTCGTGCTCCGGTTCCTGCTCGCTCCTCCCCCCTCTCTCGTCCTTCTCATGCCCAGAACTGGATCAAGCATCAGGCCACTTCAAAATAGTGCGCGCGCCCCCAACAAAGAAAAACTGTCTTGCAAGTGCACCTTGCACTGGCGCGTGAGTGCCCAAGAGCTGCACACTGACATATTGACTTCTCGAGCTTGGAGCGACAAGAGGAGCGGGAGGAGCACCTGATCCTGTCGCGCTCCGCGTACTCCTTATTGATTTCCTCCAGCTCGCGAATCTAGGAGATACTTGTTCAACACCACTCGGCGCCTACTCTGGAGTAGCATCAGAACGTACCATAAATGTCATGCAATTACAATCCAGACCAAAATGTGTCTCTTAAGCCAGAGAATGACGCGGACGAGAGGTAATCATCCACGTCGACAAACTAGCCCTGGAGAGATTGGTCTACACCTACGCATCCAGCGCGCCCGCACGAACGAGCATGACTGCGTCCGTCAACAAGGGGTGACTGCGTCCGTCCACAGGGGGAGCCAAGGGCAGTGGTGAACAAGATCGTCGGCATGCCCCTGGGAGGCCCTCCTCCACAACCTCCTCGTGCACCAGCTCCTCCTCGATCGGGCTTTGGCAGAACTGGTTGTCGTGGGACCTGGCTTAGTGATGTGTACTAGGGGACGCCCCCCGCCCCTTTTCCTCTAACCGGAATTGCTGTCACCTGAAAAAAACACAAGCTACGGCAGACCTGGTTGAGTGATTCTGACCAATTTAGGTGCTCCGGGGCCCTACCACTAATCGGGTCCTATAACCTAGAGTCCTGGCTATACCCGACTCTGCCCCTACCCCTCCTCCTCCTCCCCGTGCACCTCCCCCCCTAACCCTCCTCCCCCCTTCCTCCCCCGTAGCCACTGTGGCTCGAGTAGACCAGCTCTCAAGCAAGGACACACCAGCTCTCAGCCTCTTGTGAGAGAGAGTTTGTTTCAGCATAGACACAGCGGTGGAGGCCGCTGTCCCTGCGCGAGCACGCCCGCGTGCACTAGGGCCGTCTTGGGGCCCTCCTAGGGACCTCTCGGGCCGTCCTGAAGCGTTCTTGGAGGTTTCTTGAGCCTCGAGCAAGGTGGGCAAAACTGACCGCCGTCCCCGCCGAGCAGTGGCTTGTGCTCGAGCCGCCCCGGCTCGAACTCGAGGCGGACGGTTCAGTAGGGGCCCGGGCACAAGACACGTTCCACAAAGAACCCAACCCTGAGACCAAAGGACGTCCATTGATTCTTGGTGTGGGAACGTCACGCTTCCCATCGCAAAGCCATCGAAACCACAGAAACCCAGGGCACCCTGGAGGCAGGCAGGGTGCTTCTTGGCATGGGTCTCCACTGCATGAAGATCCAGACATATCCTCCCAGAACGGTTCATCAGCGAGGCCTCTGGGGACGCCACGGCGTGGCCTGGCCGATACGGGCCAGCTTCATGACATGTGAAGTGCTTCATCCAGCCTGCCGGCCTAGAGCCCAAGCCTGCGCCGACGTAGTGGTGCCCAGTGCTTCCCGCCGGCGTGGAGCACATCGATGATCTCAGCAGCGAGAGGAATACAGAGCTGACGTTAGGGCACGTGGAGACAAGCACCACGGAAGCGCGGCAGCGCGCACGTGTGGAGGGCAAGCAGGCAAAACGCTTCGGCTCGGGTGCTCAAGCGCATCGTCCTGGTATCCCTACTTCCCCCGTCCTGGCCTCGATGGGCCAGGCCAGCTTCGGCGTGGAGCTACGGTCCGAGCAGGGAGTCACGTGGGGCGACATGAGCGGCTGATAAGAACAACAATGATAAACATACCACGGCTACTACTAATAATAATACGAAGAATAATATGATTACGATTAACACAATAATATGAATACTAATACTACTAATAATAACAATCGCATCAAACTAATAATAATGGTAATCGTAGTACCAAGAACAAAAATGTTATGAATAAAAATTAGTAGCAGAACTAATACATATAAAACTACGTAGTAGTAGTAGTAGTAGTAGTAGTAGTAGTAGTAGTAGTAGTAGTAGTAGTAGTAGTAGTAGTAGTAGTAGTAGTAGTAGTAGTAGTAGTAGTAGTAGTAGTAGTAGTAGTAGTAGTAGTAGTAGTAGTAGTAGTAGTAGTAGTAGTAGTAGTAGTAGTAGTAGTAGTAGTAGTAGTAGTAGTAGTAGTAGTAGTAGTAGTAGTAGTAGTAGTAGTAGTAGTAGTAGTAGTAGTAGTAGTAGTAGTAGTAGTAGTAGTAGTAGTAGTAGTAGTAAATTCATGGTAGTAAGCATGCGAATAATACTTAAATATACGAGCGAGAAGAAGCAGCAGAAGACGACTGATGAGCACAAGGGCACCGCAGAGCAGCAGACCCAGCACGAAACTCTCGACACGGAGGCGGCCAAGGCACGGGGCGAGAAGGGCACTGCTGAGCAGCATGCCCGGAAGGCCTTGCTCCACATGCAGGGGTCAGAGGCCCACGGCATGAAGGGCATCGCAGAGCAGCAGCCGACGGGTGAATCCAGCGACGCTCTCGCCAAGAATGCCGACGAGTGCCTCGCAGCGCAGCGGAGCAGCGACGACGTGCGGGCCCGCCTACTGCGGATGGAGGCCACGGCGAAGACTGGCACAGCTGCCGTGGGCGAGCGGCCCTGACGAGGGTTGTGGGGCGGGGCTGGGGGGTGAACCCACTCCCACTGGGCTAGGTGCGCCCCTACAGTGGAGGCCAGTCCACAAGAAACCTTCCTCAAGGAACCCAACCCTGAGACCCCAGGACGTCCATTGATGTCTGGCGTTGGGAACGTCACGCCTTCCATAGCAAAACCATCGAAACCAAAAAAAAACGGGGCACCCTGGAGGCAGGCAGGGTGCTTCTTGGCATGGGTCTCCACCGCGGGGCGAGGGAGGGGGACCCACTGGGCCAGGTGCGCCCCTACGAGTCTGGACGCGATGAACAACGGGACGACACCGAGCGCTCCCCATCTAGACCTCCTCCCAGACGTCCAGTGCCGCTCCTCCCCCCTCCTGCCGTCGGCGCGCAAACATGGATTAGCGATCCGTGGACTTGGTGCGCGGTCGCCCAATCCATGGATCGGCGAAGGTGCCCTCCCCAGAATGCAGCCGGTGCCGCCGCGCTCGGCGGCGGAGGTCCGCGATCTCCCGTGGAAGCGGGGCCCGTCGCCAACCCACGCCCCCTGGTTCCATGCTTGCGATCGCCTGATCCTGACCTTATGTCGGGCCTGTCCCCCTACAGCGGGATTTTCGACGAAAAAAAAAATACACCAAAAATAATAAAAAAAGAATCAAAAAATAGTCTGGGGACTATTTCTTTGATACTTTCCAGCCTTTTTGGTGCATTTTTCTGGTATTTTGAATTTTTCGTCGACAATCCCCCCGGGGGACGGGCCCGACTGAATCCTGAACCCGTGCCCCGTGCCAAATCTCCCGGAAACGTGGGCGCCCTCCCCAGAATGCGGCCGGTGCCGCCTCGCTCGGCGGTGGAGGTTCGCGATCTCGGCCCGTCGCCAACCGACGCCAAACCCGTGCCCCGTGCCAAAAAATCTCCCGGAAGCGTGGGGCTCCTTTCGGTGGAGCTGCTCCTCCGCCTCCCGGGGGGCGCCAGCGCTCTGCCGGCGCTCGCCGGGCCCCGCCGCGGGCCTGCAGGCAGGGGCTCGGGGCGAGGAGGCCTGCTCGGCTCTCTCTGTGCACGCGCTCGTGGTCTGCTCCCCGCCCTCCTCCCTCGCTCGTTGCCCTCCCTCGCCGGCTCTCCCTCCGCCTCCCTGCCCTGCAGCCCCCCCCCCCTCCAGCTCCATACTCCCCCCCTCGCCCCAGGTCCCAGTCTCCTGCCCCTCGCCCCTCGCCTCCCTGCCCTCCCCTCCATCAATCCCCTCCCCCCGCCCCGCACTCAGCCACTTCTCCTGTCTCTTTCTTTCTTTCTCTCTCTCTCTCTCTCTTTTCCTCTCTCCCTTCCTCTCTCTCTCTCTCTCTCCCCTTCATCTCCCTTCCTGCCCTCACCTCTCGCCCCAGTTGGAGCCCCAGCTCTTCAACGTCGATCCCCCAATGAGGCTTTGCCTGCTGGGCCCTACCACCTTCTGCGCCGCAGGCAGCGACGACAAAACGACGAGGGCTGGTGGCAATATTCGCCCGAAGCTGGCGCGAAGTGGCTCCCTGAGGCCCCCCCGCTCCTCGAAGACACCCCTCCCCTTGGAAGGCAACGCGATGCAATGCAGTGCAGAGAATACAATCCAGGCCTCCCATAATGGGTCCGAGCAGATACGGTTGGAAGATCGCGCCGCATCGCCGATGCATCAGCGATGCTGGCTGCTCGATGCGGAGCCCGATGTTCTTCACGCGGATGTCGCCGATGCATCGCCGACGTCGCCGATGCATCGCCGATGCATCGCCGATGAACCGCCGATGCATCGTCGATGCGGCGCGATCCTCCGACCCCATCTACTCCGACCCCATCTAGGAGGCCTCTATACAATGATAAGCGGTTCAAAGCAAATCAGCACAACGAAAAACATAACAAAGGCAGCAGAAACGATGCAATGCAAGACACTACACCGCGCCACACTGCGCTACACTGCCAATCGATCGGAAAAGGAAAAGACAGCACGCTGCGAGCCTTCAATTCAGCGTTGTCGCCAGAACTCTTCAATTCGGGAGCCTTCAGTGCTGCGTTGTCGCCATCCATCCCTTGCCACTGCTGCCCCGGCCAGGAAAGTTGTTCAAGCAAAGAGGCCGAGTGCGATATGTGAGTCCTGACCCTCTGAGTACGTTGCTCCACTGTCCTTTATGTGGGCGGCCTCGACCTTAACTCTCGCATTCCTCTGTCGTAATTCCAGGAGTGCGTCGCCAGGCACTCTCCAAAAGGCCGATTCAAGTCAAAACCGCCGCGTGGTCAACTCCACTCCGACATCTGTGCTCATTCGGCAACATGTTTCAAGGTGTCTGGTCACACGGTCGGTACGTTCCATCCGCTGAACCCGTCCACATCTTTTGCCTGGTCTCGTCCACCACTGCGGCCGGTGCAGACACAGCCGATGCTGCCAAGACTGCCTGCTTTGGCGACGCGCACAGGGGCGGGGGAGGGGGGGGAAGGGCGCGGCTTCTAAGAAGGCAGGGGGGGGCATCTGACGCGGATGCAACTAAAAATTTGATGCTCATTCTGGGAACCTTCCTGGAGACACTCGCTCTAGTCGTACGTCGAAGCTGCGTCGAACGTCCGTCGATGTGAGTCGATCCTGAGCCAAACCTGAATCGAACCTGAGTCGAACTTGAGTTGAAGTTGAGCCGAACTAGAGTCGAGCATAATCGTTAGGTGGGCCCCAGGAAGGTCCCAAAAACGAGCATCTGATAGAAATGTTTCTCATAAGGCAAAAGGACTTTTAAGAGGTCCCACGCCATCTTGGAGGGCCGCCCTGGCCGTGGGCATCATGCGCCTGAGCAGCCTCACGCAGGGGCGTGTCCCTGACGAGGCTGACCCGCGGCTTCGGGGGGGGGGCGTG